TACATTGGACTTGTAGTAATAGGAAAGATCACTTGCTCCACAAAATGACTGCAGGGAAGGTTCCCTCAAGGGGACATGTGGTACAACTAATTTTCTCATCCAGGTAATGACCAGGCTCAACCCTGCTTAGCTTCAGTGGGTTGCCACTTGAGAGCTGCAGGGTGATGGTTGCTGGCTGTGATAACTAGTATACAATATATTTCAAGGTACTATACTGCAGTACTTTGATCAAGGTCTGTTTTTTAAATTTTTATGTACTTTATTGTGCCTGGCTGCATTGTGCTGAGGATGGCCTGGTTATTTATTTTCCACTTTGCAGTCCCATACAGGAGGTTCAGGTGAGACCTGAACTCTGCAGACCTGTAGGTAGCCAGGAGATCCAAGAGAGGCCTGGCCGTTCAATCTCACCCTATCGTTCTCTAGATATGTGTCCTTTCCTGGAGAATTTACAGTAAGTCACAGTTGGCTCATGAATGAGCCTCTTGGGAAATTGCAGCGTGTTCATGGGAGAATGTGGGATAATATGAATGCAAATCTTTTTCAGTTGTATTCTGTTGTAGAAGTTGTAGTTTTTCACAAAGTCTGGGACAGGCAGTAACACTGGCAGTAAGAGGGAGTGATAATGTAATATAATGTAATGTAATGAAAGACAGTACCTGCAGAGGAACATATTATATGTGGTTGAATAAAACTATTCATAAGAACATCATAAGTTTAAAAAAAGGGATAGTACTGGACCCTTATAACCTGTTTTGATAGTAGCTAATTGATTGTAGGGTTTCATCAAGCCAGGGTATTGGTTGCAATATCAGACTCAGACTCCCGCCACCCTTTGTGTAGAGAAGTGCCTCCTGTTCTCAGTTTTAAGCACACTTCTACATTGTTTTCACTTGTGCCCCCTGGTTCGGTTTCACAGTTTGTTCTGATGAAGTCCTCCATGGCGGCTTTATTGATGCCTGTACTTTTGGAAAGACTGGCATTATGTGAGAATACCAGTTTAAACTGTGCTAAATATTTTTGGTGTTTTTAATATTAACATTTTTGAATCCTGTCTGACATGTTATTAAGGCAGGTTTCATGGTTAGTAGACAGTGGTTGTACAACAGAGGAATGATATGGGCCTATAAAGGAGATGGTAGCTGTCAGTAAGGTAATGTAACTATTTTATGACCTTACAAGTTGTAAAAGCAATACATTTCAAAGTGCTATAAGTTAAAATGTGAATGATTACACAAAGCCTTTCAGGAAGCTAAGGTATTAACACAAGTAAGAACTGGAATCTCCAAAGGGAATTCTGTAGTTATCAGATAAATGTAATAATGCAGTATATACTTAATAAATAATATATAAGAAACAAAAATGTTAAATGCCTCCTATTATAAGATTTTTCCCACATGATATGACAATACTTTTCTCTCCAGTATCATCAAGAAAAATGTCACAATTTTTCCCTAAACCCTAGTTTCAGTTTACTGAATGTACAGAAATAGAAAGTAGTAAATGATAAATACCCATAAATACCCTTAAATAAATACCTAGCACCTTAGTTAATGTGCAAAAAAAAAAATCTGACATCTTTACCAAAGGTGGTTTACGTTAGTTGTGCATGTACAGCATAAGATGCTTGATATGACTCTTGTCCTGATACAGACGGGTAATGCTGATACTGCCAGTTTAATTAATGATTAGCATGATTAATACAACACTTAAAGACCAGGTAATAGTGAAGT